ATTGTGTAGCTTTGTGCTTAATTACAAAATAAACAAGGCATGAAGTCATGTAAATGCTATTAATTGGAACAATTTATTAAATCAATAAAATGTGTTTACTAAATCAATTCTTTGATCTGTTTTAACTCGTGTAAAAGTGATCTCTTCTAATAACATCTTTGTGTTACCATTGATCAAACTAACTCATTGAGATAGTATTATGTTTGATTTATATCATTCTATACTATAATTGTTTAAAAAACAAGAATAAATTTTAATGTTCAAGTTTTCTCATTCCCGATTAAATAATAATTTCAATATTCAGTTTATTATTTATAAAGGACAATATATAAAAAAAAAAACACTTCAGTATTCTATATAATCATGGATGTTTGTTGATTCTTAATGTTAAATCAATTTAATCTCGTCCATTATTCAGCATCATTAGTCATTACATTAGATGAACGGCATTCAGTTTAATTACGATAATAGATTTATATCGAAATATTGTTCACAAAAACAGTTACAGAATTTTGTGCAATAATTAATGATAGCACAACTATTAATGACATCCATCCATGGTTAAAGCTATTTGTTCATCAATTACAAAACATATTCAAATAGTGTTCATTAATTTATTAGGACATATTAGAGTATTCTGGGTTAAATAATCAATACAATTTGGTCACAGTGTATTGATTTTTAAGAAACCTTTTATTGTTGCCAATATAGGACCAACTTACCCATAGGTACAATTACACAGAACAGACAAATGTACATATACACTTCTGTTGAAGTTTGTAAGCTAATAAGCTAATAAACAGCTATACTTGCTACCTTAGTAATAATTATTTATCCATATACAATATACTTCCAACACGTAGTTTGACACGTCTAAAATCTAGAGTTTTCATTTTACCTTGTGCTTCCTATCGAATAAACTAATACAGTGAAAAACATAAAATAATTTGGAAAAATCTATGAGAAAATATTTCGTTGAGAGAAAAAGAAAACATATGTGCTGTGTCCGCTGTCACCGTCCAAGGTTCCAAACTACTACCCGCATCCGTTACTCGTCCAGGCACACCGTCCTGACAATCACCTCAGCCACAGAGTAAGGATCGCAATTTGATGAAGGGCGTCTGTCTTCCAAGTATCCTTTTCGTTCTTCCGCAACTTGCCGAGGAATACGGATACTAGCCCCTCGATTGGCCACGCCTGCTGAAAAATCATGAATGCTAGATGTCTCGTGGAGTCCTGTCAGACGTCGAGCATTGTCTTTGCCTTCATTGGGATCATAAGCGCGGATGTGGAACTCGTGCTTCTTGGCCAATTTTTCAATGGCCTGCTCGATTGCACTAACAAAGTAAGCAATAATCACTGTATAATGTCAATGATTCAATACCAACCAATGAAGAATCAAGTCAATAAATGAATGTAGCATTTCAGCTATAATGCGTATTTTCCTTTCTTTCTTAAGTTACAGATATTTCAATCTAGAAAGTTATAGAAATCCTTACAATACTTGCTTCTAGTATAAGTCAGAAAGAATTATTAATGATTTCCGTCCAAATAACATATATATATATATACATCTAAACTTCTATCAAATTTAGTGCTGGCTCTTGGGATGTTGTTTCTTGGAACGTAGATGTATCATAAAGTATCATATTAAACAAGTAACGCAAAAAATAAATTATGAGGGGTGAAAACTGTTTAAAACTTGCAGGCTACAATATCATTCACACATAGTCACATCTAAAAACAGATCACAAGAGGCTGACGTACGCTGCTCTAAAAATCTAAACTGTAAAAAATGGCTTAAAACTTTTATAGGCAATTGAAAAAAGAACGGTTAGTTATATTCAACTTATGTTGTAACGAGATATTATCTCCGATGGTCTCAAGTTAATCTACTTACGCTAAGCCGTCTTCATTTCTCATAGCCTTGGTACTGAAGTTTGTGTGAGCACCTGCTCCGTTCCAGTCACCAGGGATTGGTTTGGGATCAAAGGACACGACTACTCCAAAGTCTTCAGCCACTCGGTGCAAAATAAATCTGGACATCCACAGGTCATCTCCGATTGTAACACCCTCACATGGACCAACTTGATACTCCCACTAAGAAACAGTAATTTTGGGTATTACATATCCGCTTTCCAGAATATCCTCTGAATATCTGTCAGTCATTTATGCTTTAATGTTATTTAATGATATTGCTTTATTTTTGAAATATTTCTATTTTTTTCAAACTTTTAATGGTCTATTATTTTTAAATACCCGTGGTTGTAAGTTTTATTTAATTTTCTATTTATCACTTACTTAAGTAGTTTTTTTTAACTTATTTCCCTCCTCTAATAATATGATAGTTTCAAACATCAACTTTTCTGCCTTATTCTGGTATTTCCCTATACTGGAAATTGCTCTCACACTTGCATAGCTATTTTCACCAGAGTCTATAATGATAAATATAGCGTTACAGAAAACCATTCATTTATCACTACACTCCGAGCTCATTCCCAGTTCACTCCTGAAGACGTTAATATCTTTGTTGGGAGTCTACGGACTTACAACACCAAAACCCGGGGTTCATTTCCCCGCGATGTGTACAGTAGATAACTCAATGTGGCTTTGCTCTAAAAAGAAACAAATTTTGTTTCAGATATTCGTGAAAAGTTACACGAGGTTTATCTACATATGGCAATATTTATTTTTCAGAAGTACTCGTGTTATCGGGTTACTTTGTGATCTGGATAACATTATGCCATTAAACAGGCTAATATTATAACATTATACAGGGAGCAGCGTTGATTAGTCGCTTCGCGTTTTCCACCCGTAGTCGAATAATTGCGAGTTCGAGGCTTGTTCGATACATACTGTTGTGTTCTTGAAAAATATCTTTACCCTGATTGTTTTAATCCCCCCAGATGTTTGATAACTACAGAGAGGTTAACCTGCGATGTATTGGCGTCTTGGGAAATTGTGTCACCATCCGCTTGTCACAATAATGCTTGAGTTGCTCGGCACCACTTCCTCAGTATAGGAGATGTCATTGAACAATTTAATGTGTTTTGCCAATTTATTAATTTCAAATGTTTCTACTCGTTTCTATAAGTTGTAATATTATGTTATATCTGGGTAGTCTACATTGAACATCTAAGGCAATATCAAATATGTTTGCTATATTTTACACTAATTGGAACGTGAAAAACTAATATACGGTTTTAAAGAAACAATACCCACACACAACTTCGGACCAAATATTTAAATACTTTTAATTATAATTGTAGAATAACTCAGTTCTTCTTTTTCAATTGAATCGATAATTGAACAAAATAAACATTGATTTATCAAGAATAAATTCAGCGAAGCAAAATCCGGAAATATACCACCTTCGCTATTGGAGTTATACTAATAAAAAAAATTACAACACAATTTTTGCGCGGAAAATATTTTTTATTCTTATTTTATAAATATGCTTAAATATTGATATTTCTTTTCAGGAAACCTCCAGAACTTTTCAATAAATGTGCAAGATTAAATGAAACAAGCTCACCTGAGCAGGCATGACTTCTGCATTAGAGCCCCCGATGTTAATTCCAGCATACATACAGGCCCTGTAATGTGCCTCAACGACATCTCGTCCATACACTTTGTTAGACCCTACACCACAGTAGTAAGGTCCTACGAGACAAAAATTCGATTACTAAGCAGGATCTTTTATTAATAAAGCAGAGTTTTAAAAATAACCCTAGGTGCCTACAATAACTATTATCTTGAACGTTGTAATCTCATGGCTACGAACTTATTTGCGAATAACGTTTTAACATTAATTTATGAAATGAAAATAGTGTACCATATGTCTTATATTTTAGAGGCATATAGAATTATAATTATTAAATATAGCCTCAAGACAATGTGCTTATACACCAGCAATAACGCAAGAAAGCTGTACTTGCCTCACATTGGTAACACTATGAATCTTCTTTTGCTTTATAATAAATTTGTTTAGAAAAACGAAAAAAAAAAAAAAAGATACATGTTCACTATTCTTCACTATTGAAATTTAACCGTGAAACAGGTTCAGTACTACGTACCTGTAGTTGCTGTACTCTTGAACCCATGTCATATAATCTAGTTTCGCGCTGTTAGATAATAACTTTACAGTTTTATTCAAGTGAACAATGTAATTTAACAATATTTTGCCATAAACTACGTAATTATTTACTTGCAGGTGATTTTGCTTATGTATTCTCCAACAACAGAAATATTTTACAACAAAAGGTTTATACTGGAAGTACCTTGTGGGCCAGGAAAACCATTCTTTGGCCAACCAAAAGGATGTTTATCCTGGTCCAGCAGAGTGTATTCTTGTTCAATTCCAAACCACGGATACTCATCCGCCGCTTTCTCCATTGCCTCAACACAAGATCTCCTTTTGTTAGACTCTGTCGGTTTATGATTGTATTTGTAGGTTTCACATAACACCAATTTGTTGTTGCCACCGCGGAATGGATCCTTGTAGAGGGCGACAGGGTGAAGATAAATATCCGAGTTTGATCCCTCAGCCTGATAGGTACTGGAGCCATCATAGTTCCAGATGGGTAGTTCTGGAGAAGTAACAACGAAAATAAAAATTTTGTCATTACTTGACTTTTAACTTTCGAAACTTTCTCATTAAACACGTACCACTTTTTTACACCTAAATACAGCAGAATAAATAAATTACATATAACTCTCCTATCTAGCAGAAGAAATAATTCGAACCATGTCATGATTAAAAATAATAGCTTCTAAAGTAAATTGATCTTTGTCTCGTAATAGTAGAAGAATTATTGATGGCTATCTTTCTCAAGAACTCTGATGAAAAATACATCGCTCTAAAAATCTAGATGAAATATAATCATCTGCTTGAGTTGTCTTTAATCTGATTTTCAATAAAAGTAGTAACGAAAACCTTGAGCATTAACAACACTTTTTCCCATTGAGAACAGCTTAAATAATGAAACTGTTGTATTCAGATCATGAGTGTGATAACAGCATAATAGTTGGCTATAACAATGAGCGTTCTTCCCATATGTTTAAAAATAAGTACTCACAAGTGATTAGAGACGTATTAATGAAGATAGCCTTTATATTTGTTTGTTTCGGAAATTTGTAGATGACTTCTGCATTAGATCCATCGATGTTAATTCCAGCATACATACAAGCCCT